GTTTCTTCGACGTATCTCTTGAAGTAAAGGCTCAGATTTTTAGTTTATGGTTAATATGTACGATTGTTTTATACACTGTAAGGGATGGCGGTACTAAAAGGTTTTCTGGATGGCTTTGTGTTCTGATTTCAGTTCCCTGGTAACTGATATTAAGAAGACAAGTGTTAAGGTGAGACAGGTGTTGCAAATTTAAATAAAGTCCTAAAGATGGAAACATTATTGGTTATTCATCTGATCCTCTGCTGAGCCTGAGCTTCTTTCCTTTTATCTGAGGCAGTAATCTGAGATGCAATACTGATTATCAAGTGGCATTGGGAAACACACTTATATTGTTATTACTCGATTTCCTCTTAATGCACTTTGAATCGCAAACAAATCCATTTCATACACAGAAATGTATTTTCAAATCAATCCAATGCAATGGAGTTATATAGACAATTTCAACTTTGAATAAACAGTTTGATTGTGCTTACAAAACGGAGCCGGGCCATTCAGTTTAAAATTCTGTCTTGCTTACCAGCCTTTGTAAATCATCTCTTTCATAACTCTAAGCTATTCATTATGCTGCTGCCAGACTAACACAATCTAGAAAGTGTTCTGAAATTACTCTCATTTTATATTCTTCACTCTGGCTCCCACTAGGGTTGAGGATCCCTTTAAACTTCCCCCCCACTCACCTACAAAGTTTTGAAAGACCCGACTCTAGAACATCTATCCTGCTTTCAAATGAAAGCCACCGCTGCCCGCAGTCTTTAAATGCAGGCTTGGAATCTATTAAGTTGTTTTTATGAAATTAGAAAACAGAACGTACCTTCTTTGCCTATGACACCTGACTATTACAGTATGACTTTGTTTAACTTACTATGTGTACACGGTTAAGACTAATTTAAAAACTGTTTTGCTTAATCAAGCTTTTTTTTTTGGATAGTTTTTAGAGATTCTCTTCCTGCATGAAACTGTAACAGTGTGTCGCTGCAAAGTGCTGTACAAATACATTTTACTTGTTTTTTTACTTGCTGCTTTATGCCCATTTACCAAAGTAGCACAAGCAGAAATTATATTTGACAGCTATATAATGTGCCAGTTCAGCTGTTGTTAGACGACCTGACTTCTTTATTCCTGGTGATCGTAGTAGAATCATTAGTTATGTTATTTAACAATGGAAAGGTAAACAGACTGAAACAATGTAGCTACTGCAGAGACGCTTTGTCTCATTTCTTCCAAAAATATTTTCAAATTTTTTTTCAGGTGTACATTTAAAGAAATAGGCTCTATACATTTGCAAGGACATCACATCTTTTAAAATACCCAGTTGTTGTTTGAAACGTTTTTTTTTTTTTTTGTCAAGAAAGATATAATGAAATCAACTTGTAATCATTAATCGCATGTCAAGTTTCCCAAATCTTCACCTGAATTCAATATATCTCTTCATACTCACCTACTGTGCAAGAGACTTTAATAAAAACTGTAGAAGATACAACCACCTGATGGGCAAAGAAAATAGTAGTTATAAAAACAGTAAACAGAAAATAAAATAAACCATTACAAGAACAACTCAAAAGAGAAACATTCAACCCTAGAGCCTACATAATAATGTTTGTCATAAAGTGCAGAATAATTCGAAACAAATTTAATAATGAGGTTTCACCTGGATATGAACTTCATTTGTTTTCGTCTGACAATGAAAGTACAGAACTTGAAATGGAGAGTCCTCTACTTACCTCCCACTGCGTATCCTGCTGCGGTAAATCCTGATGTAGCAAATACATAAAAAAGGTAGAGAAAAACAGCAGGTGTATGCTGTCATAGTGAGAGGAAAAAAACACCGGAAGGAAAAAAAAAAGAAAAGATTCCTAAAAGTGCAGAAAGTGTAGTGCTCCGCTTGCTGTTTGTAGATGGAGCTCCTGTGATGCCAGGCTTCTGACATCATGCTTTAAAGTTTATTTGCAGACTCATCTTGAATGGGTCTTTTCTTCCCCTCCACCTCCCCCCCAATCACCTACCAAAAGTTCTAACAGCACAAGTACAGGAGCAAAAAAGTTATTCTTTTGTTCCCTATTAAAGACCAATGTTGAATAAAAAAAAAGGCTGAACAATGAACTGTCTTGCTTTTTATTCACTAGCATACGTAGCAGAAACACTAAAAGTGAATTCCTGGCATAAACTGACAGTTGACCTTTCAATTAGCATGGGTATATAAAACCCCAGGCCCTGGTTCTCACGTGCATCCCACTGAGCAGGAAAATAGCATGTTAAAACATGTTACCCTGGATAACCTTTCCAAACCATGGAATGAGACGCCATCAATCACACTACATGAAGTCGGTGTCTTTCTCCCGGGAGCTGACAGTGCAACAATAAGGTGATGCTATTCTCTGTTAACAGGTTTCACTTATCAGCACAAAACCAACACAGATCATGAATATTTTGTTTGTCCCACTGGAGAGGTATTGAATGTTCAAGATTTTCTCTCTCTCTCTCTCTCTCTCTCTCTGTCTCTCTCTCTGTCTCTCTCTCCTTTTCAACAAGCACCATTTGATCTCCATGTCCAGTCCAGCAGTTCCACATGGGGTCATGAATAAAGAGGTTCAGCAGCAGTTGCCAATGAAGGCATGTGCAGCGGTGCATGACGTCCTAATACATTTCCACTGAAATGGTGTCCAAGGCCTCACAACTAAGTCGATTTCTTAGAAAAATAACTGAGGTAGCATTTAGCATCTATGCTAATTAGCTTAGGAACAAACACTCTTAAACCGTCAGATGTACAGAAAGAAAACTTTAAATCACACTGAGAGCTTTATTGTTTACGGCAACTTTTTGGGCTCAGTAATTGACTGAATACATGTTAATATTGGTTTCCTTAAATGTTGGAAAAACTGTTTCTTGAAGCAGTTTTTTTATTTGGACCAACAATATTATAAACCTCAACGGGCTTCTGCTTGTGCTCTCTCCTTCAACCAGACATAAACACACCAAGTACACCCAAAGGATGTAAAGGGTAGTCTTTCATTTACTCAGAAACCATCACAGCTGACTGGTAGTGTAATTTTCTGGTGTTTTATAGGTTTAGTCATCGCAAAGATGTATTTAGATCTTTTTAGATGCAGCAAGAGTCGTGCCAGACATCAGTGTGTTGTCCAACACCATTGTAATAACTTCATTGCACCACCGTCAGCACGGTATAGAAGTGATAGGCAAGAGACCAGTGAGGAAAGTCTTCATTTCAGTACTTGATAAGCATGCCACTGCAGTATGTGCTGGTCCCAGGTGTTACATATGCTGCCATCCCTTCACTTTCTGCCTAGAACTACTATATCTGTGCCACTACAATAATCAGCCATCACCACTAAAGTGTTGTGTATTCTGCTCAATACACGCAGGAGCTTCTCATACTCCATATCATGCATAATAGGGAGCAAACTGGATTCTTAATTCTTCCCAAAAGACCTCACCGATGTCATGTTCTGATTTATTTGTATTTGTGCTCTGTTGCATCAGTGTGTTTAGGGTCCCCAAGAGTTGTTAAAGAAGTGAAAGAATTAATGTCCAAAACTTAGTTTCACTGTTCGCTATTAGTATGTAAAGCTGCTTTTCAGTCTCGGTGATATTTGGTAGATCACTGCTGTTTTTGAGATTTTCACAATACCTCTGGTAATGTGAAAGTGGGGGATGGGGGGAGGGGGTATAGCAGCATCTCTTAGCTGCCACTTTGTCATTTAGCAGATGGTAAACAACAAAGTGGTAAAAGAAAATATATCCAGAATCGTATCCTACATTTTTGGAAGCGTTTTAAAAACGTGCTCTCATGACTTGCGTTGACACTTTTCAGTCAAACTCAAATGATGCTCATGAAAGCAACTTTTCCGCTAATGTGTATTACACACAAGTAGATGATAGGAAAGGATAAAAACAAAGTGCTCTGCAAGGCGTTGCTTCGAGCCAATTGCAAACATAACCTCGTAATGCAACTTTGATCCATTGCCCTACGTTGCAACATATAGGATCTCTTAACATGCTGCATGTGCCTCTTCAAGGCAACAAGTCTCTATGATGCTATTTAAAGTCACAGAGAGTGGAGGAAACCTGTTTACTAACTGAGCAGCCAGAATAAATGTTGCTGCCAAAGCTGTTTGGCTAAAAATATTATATTCCCCAGTTCATAAAAAGTCCTTAATAATCCAAGTCATTGTAATGACCTTGGAGCTTTACTTGGATTGTGGAGAAATAAAACCTTCTTTCTGTGGGTGTGTGTGCACAGTGCAGGGAACACATACACACATAATCTTACTTTTTGGCTGCACTGTCCTCAGAAACGACTCCAATGACGGACTTTAACCCCGTAGCAGGAACGGTTGATTGGAACCTTACAAAATGAGATGTGAGTCAGTAAAACATTTTGCATATAGCTGCAGTCCCCATCATAGAACTCGTCAGCCCTGTCCTGATAAACGTACAGCTTTAGCTATACTGGAAGCCTCAGTAAAGGTGTTAGCATCGTCTGCTCTGTTCTGCCTTTTTTTTTATCTCAACGGTGGGTTTATTCAAGCTAACACATAGCTTTCCTGAACATTGTGCACTATTGCCAGAGATTGGGCTTCATGTGGTGTGCCGAGGGTCCGGTTGCATTGTGTACAAGCAGAGGAGCAAACCATAAGTTGCCTTTAAGTGTGGCTACCATCTGGGATTTTATTTCTGGTTGAACTGCATGCTCATGTTTTCTACAGGCCACTTTCCAGCACCTTGAGAAGCAGCCGCATTGTACAGAAGGATTTGATTGCACATGCTCCTGCAAGAAAACTGCAAGCATTTTGTTTTTAACAATGTTGACTGCCTCATTAAGAATAAGAGATGACCATGAGTGTTCCAATTGTCTCAAGAGGATCATATTTGGAGTCAAACAAAAGAGGAGCAGTGGGGAATTTTTTTTTTTTTTTTGGTGATTTGAAAAGGGCTTGACTATAATGAACACAATGATTGAAGAACCGCCTTTGTGTTTTTAGGAGAATGCCTCTGCCTCGACGGCTACATGAAGGACCCGGTCCACAAACATCTTTGCATCCGCAGTGAGTGGGGGCCCAATCAGGGGTGAGTTACGATAATTGCCTCCTGATGATTTGCGATTGCTCATTACCATGTCAGGGCGAAACATTGGGACAACAAAGGAATCATCCTCCCCATCAAACCAAGACTTATTACGTTGCTTTGATAAATCAAAACAAAGTGCGATGTGACCACATGCCGTACGGTGTCAGGAGTGGGAAACAACTCCAGGTTCACCAAAGCATTTTGCTCCAGACGCACACCTAAACACCTGACGGACATCCCAGGCAAGGCTTAAATTTCTATTATATAAGGAAAACTTGTCTGTTGCAGTTCAATTAGCAAAACTGTCGAACAGCCTTGTTAATTATTGCTTATTGAAATGTCATATTAGAATAAAGAAAATGCATACAGTGCATTGGACTTTTTTCTTTTTGATTTTCTTTTATGCGAGAACACAGAACCTATAGGGAATTGCATTGAAACACTAAGGGAGTCACTTGTAAAAATAAAATCACTTGTGGCTGTAGACTCCACAGGATACCTTTTAAGAAATGTAATAGACTAACTAAATACCCCATTTGGCTCACTTTCTTTTTTTTTATAATGTGGATTGCCACTGAGTTCTGGAGCCACTTAAAACCTCTCTGTAGGATAAATGTGCCAATGAAAAGAATAGCTTGTGCTAATTTCTTACACCGCGATGACTTCCAGCAGGCAGACCAGACATTTTCCTTTGTGTTCTGACTATATTCATGCCACGGTTTGTATTATTTTATACATTTAGTATTTATTTATTTATTTTTGCTAATTTCCTTCAGCTCACCCAACTGTGTATCTCTGCTTCTTGTTCCTCTGGTCTTCTTCCTGTGTCCCTGTCACTGTGTAACAGAGTGGGCACCCATGGGTGACTTAAATGTTTAATGATCGTAGCCCATGGCGTGGAAGCCGCTCCCCCTCCTTACTGATGTTCTTTTTGCTTACAGTGGTGAAGGAGTTTGCTCCAAACGACATCGGGCCCCTGTCACTTCCCTTTCTCTTTGCAGACTGTTAAGTCCCAGAGCTGCCACTCCCCATTAATCTCTATCATTCTCCCTCTCTCACTTCTGCCTCTTGGCATCTGTCTCATTCCCACAATGTTTTTCTCACTCTCACCGCTTCTCCCTTTTTTTTTCCCCCAGCTTCTGCTGCTTCCATCTACATCTGTATCTCCCGCTTTTACTGTGCGTCTTCCTTCTTCTGTCTCATTCTGTCATCGCCTCTTATCCACTCCCCTGATAAATGGATATGAGCCAAAGTCACATTTTATGTCAGCTGCAGCAAAACGCATTTTCAGTCTGCTGATTTACACATAAGAAAGTGTGACGCTGCGAGTGGATGGTGAAGGAATGTTGCTCTGGTAGACTGAGAAGCGGGGCTTGAGATTTTGGAAAGTTTGGACAAGAAGGATGGGTATTCTAAAAAAAAAAATAAAAAAAATTTGCACTTCTCCAGCTTTGATTCTAATAATCAGTTTTGCTCTCTCCTCTCTTTGTTGTCTTTGTGTCTGATCTATTTTTTCCTCCTGCAAGTCCCTGGCCTTACACCATCTTCCAGCGTGGTTTTGATCTTGTGATGGGAGAACAACCCTCTGATCGCATTTTCAGGTAAGAAGAACTTCACAAAACTTACTTCTACCTGACTACATTATACGTTCTGCTTTGCTCCCATCATATAACGCGTATCACAGTACATCTATGGCAGTTTCTCTATTGATGATTGTTATGAGCCTGCAGGTTCATGCAGCCTGGGAATTTAAAAACAGCTCTAATTACCATGGAAAACCAGAGAAAATGGATTCAACTTTTTTTTTAACCTTTTGCATTATTATTTATTTTTATTTATTTTTTTGCGGATCAGCAATAAAAACAGAATATTCTTTTTTTGTTGCATCACAACAAAGATGTATGGGAGAGGGCTAACTTTTCAGCTCATTTAGACCACTCTGACTGTTGGCACCGTTGGTCAGCAACGGATAGAAGAAGATGGCCCAAAGACACAAAGCTGAATTTAAAGGTTTGCCTTCCCTGTCGGCATATCATCCAGAGTTTGCCGAAGTTTGTAAAATGTTATCCACAACCAGCTGTCCATCCTAATTTGACCAATTTGGATCTTTAGCTCATTTTATCAAGCAATCTAGCACTTTACCTTTACTTAGTCAGGTTTTGATGAGCTGTGCATCCATAATTTTGCTTGCTTAAGCATATATTATTATTTCCCAAAATTATTATTGCAGAACAAACAGTGAAGATAAATGCTGAGAGCAAGCGTTCAGACACACAACACTTGCCTTCCACCCAGTAATAACCACAGGGACTTCCTCTAAGGATTGCAAACATGTTTTCCTCCCAACAACTGTTTCCTCATGAGGACTCTTAGTGTTTTCCACCTCCAGTTTCTGTTAGAGCGAAGCAAATAAGTCGTACGGCAGTGCCCAAGTCCCAAGTTGTCCATTATGAAACAGGGCTCGTTAGGTGGCAGCTAATTTATCCTGTGGTCACCCTGGTACGTCATTCTGCATCACAGGGAACCTCGGCTCCACCGCCGAACACGGTCCCGGAGGAGCAAGTGAAATAAGATGTGGCAACTGTTTCCTGAGGAATAACATGAAAATAATACTACTTTTAAGAAACTTAGTTCCAACAACAAACTCCTGAAATTAAGCCTTATATAAATATTTTTTTTTTTTAATTGCTGCACTTTGATCCACTTAAAATCTTAACTTTGAAACGAGATGATTAATTAGCTTCACGTAATTAAATGTTCCGTTTGTGTAGTGGTTTAATCACTCTGGTCTTGCACTGAGTGGTAGTGCACACAATTTTCTGATTTCCCTGCCCTTTTCATATGCTAAGCTTGCATTTTTATTAAATGCAAATTGACCAATTGAAAATTTTGTAATGTAGATATTCAGCATGAAAATGGTTATTTTGTGGAGGGGGGGGGGGCTGTCTTTAGTAGCACAAGTCAACATGCATTATTCATCAGGGCTAATACAGCATTTCATGTTAATCAGCTCGCAATGTGTAACTTAAGCTTTAAAATACTGTGTTACGTCTGCTATGAATGGAAAGGTTGATGAAACAGTTGATACACAAATAAAAAATGATTCGATGTTTTTGTTCCAGGCATCTGTTTTTTTACAGATTCATTGTTGTTTTGGTGCCTCGGGGGGGAAACTCTGAGTGGCCCCGTTTTGCCAGGGTTCCACATTTAGTATTAAACAAACTGTTCCCTCTGTTAAGGGACCATTTTACGCAGCAAATTATGATTTTGCTTAAAGGCAAATTAAATAACTCCGAATCTACTTAAGTTTGTGACATGAAATGATTCATGAAATTAGGAGATTCATCTTTATAAAGCTGATTTTTTTTTTTTTCATGCAACATGTTGTTTTTGTTTCCACAAAGAATGAATTATGGTGGCTTTTAAAATTTACATAGAATATCCCCGTGTGTATGTCATCCATTTGTAATGTGTAGGAATGATTTTTTGTAGAAACAAAGCAAAAACTTTAAACCTTAAGTGGTTGGTTACTTGGATGCCTGTAAGGTGGCAGTGATTACAGTTGAAGAGCCAAAAACTCATGAAGGAAATCTGCCAATATTTTTTAAACTTCCATTTTTTTTTTTTTTTTTTTTGTGGAGAAATTCTGTTTTACTTTTGCACAAAAAAGCCACATTCACCCATTCACACTCAGTTTAATATGCAATATCCACAAGAAAGTGACACAAAAAGTACAAGTAATCAATTTTCTATTTTTCTTGCCATTAGTTTGGAAGCTATGTGTTTGAATTTTTTTTCCCCAGAAATGTCATCATCCTGTAGATGAAAATGTATCCATGCCTTCTTTGCAAATATTTGATGTTTTTCTTTGTTTTGAAACCTAAAAATAGAAACACAATTTTAGCACTTTCAAAAATGACAACAAATCTCCTATAGCAGATTATCGAGTTTTCTCTGAACAGGTCATGCAACATTTGACACGTGACATGGAGAGTCAAAGGAGTCTGTCAACTCTGCTCTCGCCAGGTTTTGGTCGGTTGGTTTTGTGACAGCAATTTGCCACTTTTTGTGGGCGTTTCCCCACAAAGAGAAGAAAGGGTTAATTGAACTATCGGTGTGAAGTTGTGAATTGCTATGCATGGAGGATTTTGTGGAGCTCAGCGTAGCTGCCCTTTCCATTTGCATTTTGTTAAGAGAAGTGTGCCGTGTTCAATGTAAAGGAGGGAAAGCTTTGATTGTGTTTCGGGTGCAGGAAAGTAACAAAGATTATTCGTGGGCATCAAGGATTCATCACCTGCTCTTTTATGAGACTGTAGGGGTTTGACTGTGTGAGACCAGCAGACCAATCTTATGACAAGACTATTTGTATTATCCAAGCAAAAAGGAGCAGATTATAAAAAAAAGTGTTTTATTTAGCAAGACTGAGAGCAAGAAAAGGCGTCTCTTCAGATTATAAAGCTTGCAGACTCACCAGGTACACATGCATAAGCAACATTTTATTTCACTTTGCCTTCATGTCATTCTTTTCTCTTTTGAAAAGCCCACTTCTGTGACTGTGTCTTCTTCTAGATTTACATACACCCTGGGAGAAGGAATGTGGCTTCCTCTGAGCAAAAGCTTCGTCATCCCTCCCGCTGAGCTCGCCATCAACCCGTCAGCCAAATGCAAGACAGACATGACAGTAATGGAGGATGCGGTAGACGTAAGGTGAGAGACATTTAAAGATGCCACTTTTCTTAAGTGTAGCTTTAGGAACGGAGACAAAAGAAGCTTCAACGGGAGGAACCAGGGTTTCATTAAGTGTCTCATGATCTTATTGCTAATTACAGTCCAGCAAAAAGTTTGTTGTCATCACCACACTCAAATGTAACAAAGACATTTGCTGGCTTTAAATGATGACATATATTATCATACTTTTATGTCATCCTGCATAAAGTAAAGTAAATGTCAACTCTGACAGCTACCCTTTTCAGGAGACTTGCGCTGCTCTGTATTCTAACTTCATCTGCACTTGTTTTATTATTATTATTATTATTATTAATATTATTATTATTAACTATTGTTTCTGTGAGTTTTAATCATCGCAATGTTGTTGATGAACAGGTCTTAGTGGTCATGATTCACAGGGTAATAAAAATCTGAGTTCAAACACAAAATCAATTATGGAGAAGCAGCAGGGGAGAGAAAAAAAAAAGGAAAATAAAACTAAGAACTGGCTGGTGATTTGAAGCCAGAAGCAGTGTTTCGATTGTTAAATGGTTCATAACTCCGAAGACAATCCGCTCTGCATGCAACGACTGCGTCTGTGTCTAGACTGCAAAGAGAGCAGTAACTGAGCCAAAACAAAGCTGCAGTGTTAAATTGGACCCGGCCGACATCAGCGAAGCAGCAAAATTATTTAGCCACTTTGCTTTTCTACCAGTGGGTGGTTAAGTTGGCACAAGAAATTTTCATATCAGGACACCAATGCCACCAGAGCTCTTAATCAGATTCTGTAAGTTTAGGCTTGAGTCGATAACATTTTCTCTGTTTTTGCAAACATTTTTGCTCCTCTCCACTTCTGTGTTATCGTCCTAGTGCTGGGGGTAAATAGCAGAATGTGTAGATGTTTGAAAACTAGATTTTAAATAAAAACAGAATACATAATGACTTTTTTTATATCCCGGTTTATAGTGTGAGACATAGAGTTGACATACTGTACATATCAATTATATCAGCCATATTAGGTTTCATTGGAAAAATGAATGTATTTGCCGTGCAGATAATTGACACAGTGTGCACTCTAAAGGAAAGTTGGACCAAATATAGAACTATGTAGCATAGACTTCATTTCTTAACTATGGATGTGGGAAGGTTTAACCCACTCAGTGTTCATAATAACCCTCATATCTACTGTGGGAGTAACTAGGCCCCTTTTTTTTTTTTTTTACATTGGTCCACACAGAATTAATGGACAAGTCATAACTCCAGTAAGCATATGCAAATATAGTCTAGTAATACATTTGGTAATGCATCATTAACTTGCGTTGCTTATTACTTGAGCAGAATCCGATTCTGTGCACTGGACTGCAGGTTTGCGTTGCCACTTCAATAAAACAGACCAAATTTTTTATCATACAACTACTCTGAAGTATTTTGTCAATGTTTTTCAAGTTTAAGATGTAAAAAAAGAATCACCTCCATAAAGGTTGATTGTACTGTGGATTTTCAAATTTCCACACCTACACCTGCATCTTGTTATAGGCGCCTTTTCAAGTTGCGCTCTGACTATATGGGTTTTTAAAACCATCAACAGGCAACACTTTGGCTGGATATTTGACAACACTTCTCGGTAAAATTAGCACAATTACTTTTAAATAACCCAACTCTCCATTCAGACCCAGCTTTTATACATTGTTTACAAAATCCAACAGGCTTGAGTTTAGCTTCCTGTGCAAATCAATTCCAGAAGATAAATATTAACATTCTTTATCAATCCTCAAACGAGTTTCGATCATTTTTGGGATCTTCATCCATTCAAACTCCCAATTTCCAATATTCAACAATCTGAATGCCACCCTCGGATGAAAAAAAAAAAATGCTAGAGATGTTTATGAACAACTCAACATAGCTGCTGCACATTTGTCACCTGACTGAGCATGATTTGTCTCCCGTTCCACATCACATAAAGGCTACATTTAATTGAAAGTTGGAGACTGGAACGACCATCTGGGTGAAGTAAACTCAACCAGCTTGAGATAATTTTGGCTTCGTGCCATTGATACATCATTATTATTTAGTTTCCCTGTGTAATTCTTCGGTCCTTCCATCTGTATTCATCTTGTAATTCTAATGATTAATATAATCTGATTTCTTCATCTCATATTTTTCCTGATTTAAATTGTGAATGTTTTGACTGACATATTGTGGATGGTACATTTAAAACTATGTGATAATGCTGGATGCTCTGTAGATATTTCAACAGCGAGCTGGACCGTTGGCAGGCAAATTAAAAGAGAAAAATATGAACTGTCCTTTTTTCTTTTTTTTAAACCGAGTAGTTACAATATGAACCGCTCTATTAAAAAGGAAGAGCTGAACATTACTGGGGAAAAGGGCACAGCTTTATTTAAATAAATATGTCACTCACCGAGTCTGAATTATTTTCAAACACAATGATTTTTCTTTATATGGTCTTGGAGTCATTGAACTTGTCTCATTAAGCTGAACCCAGTGACTTTGTGGCAATTCATAAAGTTGCGTCTTCAAAGTGCTGCACAGTGAAACGTAAACAAGAAATGGCTTCATTATACGGAGAGAGTACACATGTGGGCCTGTTGATGGGCATACATCACCAGCGTGATGCAAACGATTCCTGAGATATGTGCATCGACATTTCATCTGCATACTCCAGCTGTGTGTGTGTTACTAATTCAAACTGATGTCCGAACCAGAGATGGTTAGGAGGAAGCCACAGCTCAAGATATGAAATGAAGGAGTTTGTATTTGCAGTTTGAAACTATCAGAAGTCAAACATAACAGTGATATGAGGGCGAGGACACCCATGACTGATGTGATGTGGAGTAGCTGCTTCCACCACATACGGGTATTAAAGCTGCTGAATTAAACACAGAGACGTCAAATATCTATGCTTTGGTTATGTTCTGAATTATGCTTGATCGTTTATCTGGTGACCTTTGTAGCCCCCCCGTTTCATTTTATAAACACAGTTTCAGATAAAATTTGACTAGCACTTTCTCTCATCCATACACTTCACACACAATCACCAACTCCTGTTTGCAAAGGATTATGTGAATCAACTGCTTTCGACTGAGTCGTGTCATTTTACTTCCAAAACAGTCTGATTTATTCCAGCCATTCAGTCATCCATCCATCTTATCTGGCACTTATCTGAGATCGCTTTCCCAAGGCAACTGGCCCAAAAACAAGACACGCCTATTCAAACATGTATCAGCGTTGATATCTGATTCTGATATCAGCCAGTTCCAACATCTCCGTTAAAAACTAAAATATAAGAAAATATGTTAAAATAGTCATTGGTTTGATTTTTTTCGACATGTCACGCAACATGTGTGAAAAAGCAGTTGCTGTAAAATAATCGTACATTTATTAAAAGAAAGAAAAATGCATGCAGGATGGACTTTTCAAACTAGAAATGCGTGTAAAAGTTGCAAAACATTGACCCTTGAGGAGCAGAATTGAAAAATTCTTCTTTTGAAAAATATTTATATCTATAGCAGGCGACCCACATTCATTTTCCTGCAGTCTTAATCTGGTTCATGAATTATTAAATATTTAACAAATATTTTCTAAGTTTTCTAAGTAAAGCAAATAGAGCTATGTGGTTAAAAAGTGATGATGTGTGCAAAGCTTGGCAGCTGGTAATAACCTCACATAGGTGAACTCTCGCTACAAATAGGAGGAAAAACAGCATGTAGTTTAATGCCCCAGATGTAAGAAGGTTTATCACAAGAAAATGTCCAAGATTTCAGATTTTTCCCCCCTAATTTTTAGCCCTTTATGCCACCAGTAGGCTCTCACAGAAAGACAACTTGTGAAGCCCTCATCTAGATAACAGTGTAAATGTGAACAAAACGCAGATCATCTTCTAACAATTTCAAACAGTGCAACCCAGCATTGGCTCACTGCTGCTGCTCTGTCGGCAGTCTGTGTCTAACCAGACTTAAGAGGTGCTACAATTGGGGGGGAAAAAAACAATCTTACAGCTTTTTCATTGAAACATATGGTGCAGCTTTTCCAATATTTCACCTTAGTCCATTACTTCCAGATTTGACTCCCCCCCCCTTTTTAAACAAGACCTAATAAATTCCTGTGACCGTCAGGATAAAACATGGCTTTCAATTCTATCGAGACAGTTTAACCTTTAACCTTTTGTAGTCTTATTCTGCCCATTTAATATTATGATTACTGTTGTTAATATATTTTTTTACACCTGTCTTCACTGTGGGGAAGTCTGAATAAGTAAATTGTGGATATAAAGTACTTAAAGAGAAATATGATTTTTACAATGTACAGAGAGAATGAGGTTGGTGTACGATATACATCAATGGTTGTTGATTCATGTTTTGTTATGTACGATCTCTGTTCATTTTGCTTAAATTTATGTTGGACACTTTCTATATGTAACCATATCATCTTTACACAATTTTGTATTTCATTTCTGTATGGCAGTGTGTTTATATCAAACACATAAATGATTTACAGTTCAACTAAATTCACAATGTGGGAAGCTTAAAAAGTATATAAATATGCACTTTTATCATATTTCATCACACCTACAAATATTTTTTTAGTGTCTAAACATTCCTTTTGTGAATATTTATGATGTCAAGATTTTTAAGCTCTCTGTTGGGAAATTGCAGTGAGGATGCGTTGTGTTTACAGGCTTTCATCTGGTTTTTTTTGTTTTGTTTTTTTGTTGTTTTTTTTAACATGCTATTTTCATTTGGCAGCTTTCTACAAGTCGCTGTGTAAATAGCTCATCTCCTTCTGATCTGTGATCTAATGAATGCTCTCCTCAGCTCTCCCTCAGGGGCTTCACAAAAACACTGTTAACACCTTCTTGAAACATGCTGATTCACTGTTCTTCTGAGCCGCGTTCCCATGCGTTTGATTGTCATTTGTAACTTTGTTGCATCCTGGCAGAGAGATAAGTGACAACAAACGCTGATCTTTTTTCCATTGAT